GGAGAATGGCGTGAACCCGGGAGGCGGAGCTTGCAGTGAGCTGAGATCCGGCCACTGCACTCCAGCCTGGGCGGCAGAGCGAGACTCTGTCTCAATAAAAAAAAAAAAAAATTAGCTTGGCATAGTAGCACACACTCAAAGCCCTAGCTACTTGGGAGGCTGAGGCAAGAGAATCACTTGACCCAGGGGTTCGAGGTTGCAGTAAGCTGTGATTACACCACTATACGCCAGCCTGGGTGACAGACTGAGACACTGTCTCTTAAAAAAAAAAAAAAAAAAAGCAGCATCATAAAAATGCTTCAATGAACTTGAAATAACTAAAAAAATTATTAAGTTTCAGCAAAGAAATATAAGATGTAAAGAAAAACCAAATGGAAGTTAGAAAAAATGTAATACTGGACTTAGAAATCACTCAGTCTGAACAGTAGAACGGGGCCTGGAAAACACCAAAATGAACAAAGCCCCGCAGACCAGTGGGACCATAACAAAAGAACTAACATTCAAGTCATTAGACTCCCAGAGGGGAGGAGAAATGGGTGGGAATGAGAAGTATTCAAAAAAATAATGGCTGAAAATTCCTTGTATTTGGCAAAAAGCATAAATCTACCAATTTAAGAAGGTGAGCAAGCCCTAAATAGGACTAAACACAAACACATTCACACTAAGACACATCATAACCAAACCACCAGTGAACTAAAGACTAAAAAATATTCAAAGCAGCAAGAGAGAAATGACACCTTACCTATAGGGGAGAAACCAATTTTAATGACAAAACAATTTGTCACCAGAAACCATGGCGGCCAGAAGGAAGAACAGCATTTTCAAGTGCTGAAGAAAAGAACTATCAATCCAGAATTCTATATCCAGCAACAATATTCTTCAGGAACGAAGGAGAAATCAAGACACTCTCAGATTGTATTAGGAAGGTGCCAAAAAGGGGTAGGTTTCATTCTGAGGCTGCTGCTGCTTTTTTTTTTTTTTTTTTTTTTGAGACAGAGTCTCACTCTGTTGCCCAGGCTGCAGTGCAGTGGCGCAATCTCAGCTCACTGCAAGCTCCGCCTCCTGGGTTCAAGTGATTCTTGTGCCTCAGCCTCCTGAGTAGCTGGGATTACAGGCACTCACCACTACGCCTGGCTAATTTTTGTAGTTTTAGTAGAGATGGGGTTTCACCATGTTGGTCAGGCAGGTCTCGAACTCCTGACCTCAGGTGACCCACCTGCCTCAGCCTCCCAAAGTGCTGGGATTACAGGTGTGAGCCACCGCACTCGGCCCAGACGTCATCTTAAGTGTAGGAAAAGGCAAGGACTAGGATCATATATCATTTACCTTTTCTTTTTGAGACAGTCTCATGCCCAGGCTGGAGTGCAGTGGTGTGATGTCAGCTCACTGCAACCTCTGCCACCTGGGTTCAAGCAATTCTTCTGCCTCAGCCTCCCTAGTAGCTGGGATTACAGGCACCTACCACTACACCTGGCTAATTTTTGTAGTTTTAGTAGAGACGGGGTTTCACCATGTTGGTCAGGCAGGTCTTGAACTCCTGACCTCAGGCGACCCGCCTGCCTCGGCCTCCCAAAGTGCTGGGATTACAGGCATGAGCCACAGTGCCCGGCCTTTTTTTTTTTTTTTTTAGACACAGTTTCACTCTGTTGCCCAGGCTGGAATGCAGTGGTGTGATCTTGGCTCACTGCAACATCTGCCTCCTGGGTCGAAGTGATTCTTGTGCCTCCGCCTCCTGAATAGCTGGGATTACAGATATGCCACCACACCCGGCTAATTTTTGTATTTTTAGTAGAGACGGGGTTTCACCATGTTAGCCAGGATAGTCTCGATCTCCTGACCTCATGATCCACCCGCCTCGGCCTCCCAAAGTGCTGGGATTACAGGCGTGAGCCACCGCGCCCAGCCTTGAGGCTTCTTGTCTTGGTTTGTAGGTGGTGACTATCTCACTGCGTGCACACTGCTCCATGACCTCTCCTTGTGCCCATGAGAGCGGGCAAGCTCTCTGGTGTCTCCTCCTATAAGGACACTAATCCTATTGGTTCAGGACTCCATCCTTATGACCTCACTTCATTTTAATTACTTCCTCGGAGGCCATCTCCAAACACAGCCAGGTTAGGGCTTCAACACTTGAATTTTCAGGTGGACACAAACATTCAGTCCATAACACATATAAGGGCAAATGGAAATAATTTGTTGCCAGCAGGCCTAACCTAAAAGAATGACTAGGGGGCCGGGCGCGGTGGCTCAACCCTGTAATCCCAGCACTTTGGGAGGCTGAGGCAGGTGGATCACATGAGGTCAGGAGTTCAAGACCAGCCTGGCCAACATGGTGAAACTTTACTAAAAATA